GTAAGCAAATGCCAGTTTCTAAATTATTGTTAAAGGGAACCAATCATCTCGGGTCTCCCAGGTGTCTTCTTTCTCTGCACTAAATCCATTTCAGAAACTCACTATATTTGTGAGGGGAGGACTCCGAGCTCTGGTTCCAAAAACCTCAGTCCCAAAGTGCGTTTTATAAAGGATTTAGGATGATTCAGAAAGAAATCAAATTATGGTTTTTCCCCCAAAGCTATCTGAGGCCCATGCCTCTGAATAAGATAAAACAGGAAGATGGCCATTTACAGGAAGGCTCCAGAACACCTGTGTGCAGAAGTGTTTTCAGGGGGGTTATATGCAGCAGGGAGCAATGTGAATTCCCTTTGGCCCTCTGCACAGCCAAGAGAAGACAACCCCAATTTCAGACAGGAAACCACAGAGGGCCTGCAAATTAACATCTTAACTCACATCGCCTCCTTGTTTTCCCTTCCTCCCTTTTCTCCTTCTCTTCATTTTCACACTTTTGCTCTCAGTACCTAACAAGTAGTATCCCAGATGGAGTCAAATGCAAATGACCCACTCAGCTGTTCACCTGGCTATCACTTCTGTTGAAAGGGAAGTATCACTCGTCCAAGGACAGGAGAGAGAGGCCGCAGCGCTAAATCCATCCTGTCACACCCCATCTTCAGAAGCATGCCCTCCGAGGTTAGTTACCCCGAGATACAACATTTAGATTCCCTCTGTAACGTTAAAAATGTATATACTAGTATATGCTAAAACATCGGGGGCCCAGATGACCAGTTTGGTGTCTGGAGTTGGAATAGCTGTTTTAGTTCTCCCTTTGGGTAGTGCCTGGGTAAAGGGAATTGTATGGTCACTAAACTAATTTTCAAGTTATTTAAGCACACCAAGTCCTGCTGACACACAGGGGAGTGAGATGCTTTGAGACACAGGAAGAAACCAGCCACAAAATCTACTGCTGCAGAGAAGGCGGCACACACTCCAGCTAATTGTCGTAAAAGAGCTTCCAGAAATGCAACACAATGACTTCCACACAGATGCTTCTGAGGCTCAAGGATAAGGGTTTCAACACTAGAGAGGTGTGTGTGACATAAGGAGAGGAATCCAGTATTCTGCACGTAAAAAATCTACACCTGTGTGATAATCCATGCCCAGTGGTGTGTGTGTGTGCGTGTGTGCGTGTGTGTGTTCTTGTTGTTGTTTAAATTTGGGTTTAATATTTTCATTCCTTACAATCACCCTATAGTGTTCAGTTGATAAATATCTGAGCGTGTCAGTGAAGATCGGTATATTTTAGCTAATATGCTTCTTCCATTTTCTCTAACTCTGTAAAGATAAAATGATTGAGAAGCTAAAAGGTGGAAATACAGTTACTGGTGTTTGGAGCCACGAGAGATTTCAGAGGTGAACTCTCCAACTCTCTCATTTTATCAATGAGGATATAATGTCAACTTTGAAGGGTTGGAATAGGTTAAGTATGAGTAGATAAAACATAAATTTTCTCTCACATGTTTTCCTACTAAACTGTGAGCTCCATAGAGGCAAAGCCTATTCATGGCTTTAGCATTAGACATATGCAGATACAGATATAGATAGATATAGTATATTACCTACCATTATATATAACAGCATGAGAGAGAATCATTGATAGGCTGCTTCCTGCATGCCCCACACTGGGGATCAAGCCCACAACCTGGGCATATGACCTGACAGGGATTCAAACTGTGACCTCCTGGTTCATAGGCTGACATTCAACCACTGAGCTATGCCAGTTGGGCCATAAAATTTTTTCTTAATAAAACAATCGCATTTTAAAGTCTATACTGTAAAACATTATTTTTTTCTCATAAAAATATTTGTTGTTGTAAGCAAAATTTTAGTGCAAAAAATAACCATCTTATATTACCTAAACTAGTATCTATAGTTCAAGTCCTTCCTTCAAAACCAAATTTGTGTTCACATTTACCCTGCAGAAAAGGATCTAGTTTTTCCTGTGGTTACAGCTTTATAAGGTACCCATCCACTACACTCCCTTTTCAAGAACAAGGGCACCAAAATTTCCCTTGGTTCTTTTTCCTAAATGCATAAGGTACTCTCTGTTTACATACCCTGGATCATAATTTTTTGGTTCCACTGGCTTATAGGTGGCCATAACACTAGCAAGTAACTATAAATGTGACTTTTCAGTTCTTGCCATCTGTGTGCAAAGATATTAGCACCACCAAATTTCCTCATTGCTTATCTATAAAATGATCAATTATGTTTTATAACTGCAATTTTTAAAAATATACTTTTATTGATTTTAGAGAGGAAGGGAGAGGGAGAGAGAGATAGAAACATCAATGATGAGAGAGAATCATTGATTGGCTGCCTCCTGCATGTCCCCTACTGGGGATTGAGTTCGCAACCTGGAATTGAACGGTGACCTCTGGTTCATAGGTCAATGCTTAACCACTGAGTCACACCAGCCGGGCTGGGTTCCTTTTTGTAAAGACTATTTTAAATAGCAATATGATGAACATCTTTGTGTACTTGCCAGCTGATTTTCAAACTAGATCAGGATCTATTCTGAACGATTCACAACAGTAGCAACATTACAGTTAAGAAGTAGCAACGAAAATAATTTTATGGTTGGGGGTCACCACAACATGAGGAACTGTATTTAAAGGGCCAGAGGTTGAGAACCACTGCTCTATACACTGAGCCAAACTGGCTAGGGCATATAACTGCAAATTTGATATAGATTTACCATATAAATATAACCGCAGATTTTAAAATCTGACTGTTCCTTCTATATTACATAAAAATTATAAGTGAAAAGAATAACTTAAAAGTCATAATTCTATTAGTCTAAAAGAATACAATACTCATTCAACAATGTTTCTTTTTAAATAAATTATGTTCTTTGAAATGGTATTAGTCAAGAGTAAATATTAGTACATTTGAGAACTATTGTTTCAAACAAAAGATGACTATCAAAATAGAATGTTGTTTTTATCTTTCTCTGCATCAAGATATTGGAAATGATAAAAGAGTGTTTAGATCATCCAGTTTCTTTTCTCTAGGCAACAATCCAAGAAAATAATTTATAATTTCTCAAAAGCTAGGAAATAAGATCACAGAGGGCGCGAGAGGGAAGGAAGAGGCATTCCAGCATCTGGCCAACTGTATTTACTCTGCAAAGCTCCAAGCAAGTTACATTTCCTAGCAGTGCAATGTTCCCAGGTAATTACAAGAGGGATGAAAGCAGGGGTGTTTCCATCACATATTATAGAAGAGTATGGGCTGTGATATTTGTGTGTGTGTGTGTGTGTGTGTGTGTGTGTGTGTAGGTAGGTAGGTAGATGATAGATAGAAAATGTGTGTGTGTGTGTGTGTAGGTAGGTAGGTAGGTAGATGATAGATAGAAACAGTCAGTTTTACAATCTAGGAATTCCCTGTTCAGGAAAGTAATAAATCCATATTCAAATACAGTCATCATCCAGGGTCACTCAGTAATGCCTCATTCACATTTCAGAACAAGATGTTCACCCATAGTTGAATAGACTTTTAAGGGATACAAGCGCATATATGAAATAGCTTTATATCAATTTCTATATTGTGTCCTGGAAGAAAGATATGAGGTGGATTAAAATGCTAATAAAAATGAGTCATTCAAAATTTCATTCAATAACAACCTATAATAATTGTAGAAATCTTTTTGACTTGACTTTGGCAATCTCTTAATCCGAGTGGTGCATCTGTAAAACATTTATTGTTGCTGCAAACAATGTCTTTGTTAGGGTGATGTTTTTTTTCCTGGTTATTTTCCTTTAGCTTATTTTCTCTCCCTATATTCATTTATTTTCATCCCTTCTAATTTTAAATTTATCTCACTACTTCTTATCCAATACGCTGCCTAAAAATATAAGAGGCTAACAATTTTAGAGACATTTCATGAGCTCCAAAAAATAAATTCATACAAGAGAGGAAAATCTGGTCAAAGTCACCAAAATATGGCCGCATCAGAGATTTTTGCAAAATATGGCAAAGATTTGTACAATGATTGAAGTAGTCGCTATTGACATTAAGTTGGCCTATTGTATATGTTATGCTACTATTTCCTCATGATAAACCAACAAGGAAGGCATTGCTACCCATACTACATGAATAGAGAAACTGACATTTGATGAGTTTGGAAAGTTTTCTAAGATCACATACAGATACTAAAAGGGAAAGCCAGGATTAAACACCCGAGTATGAATGTCTCCCAGACCCACAGAATTCCCCTGCTGTGTCCAGAGCTTAGAGACCAGTGAGGCCAATCCCGCTCTAAGGCCAGGAGCAGTGAACACAACCAGAGAGCACACAGCAGGTCACAACAGAGTCAAGCCTGACAGATCCTTGTTTGCTTCTCTCTTCTATAGGGTTTGGACTGAGACACACTTGAAATAAGATGTTTCTAGAAAACTAAAGTTTGGCCTTAGGTTCTTTTCTTCAGATATAACTAGCCTAACTTAAATCCTTTTGAAAATTATATCCACTTCCCAGGTCAGGAAACATTGGCCACTGGGTAATGTTGCTTCATAAATACAACCTTTTTGGACCTCACGAATGCCATCACTGTCTATAGACATAAGGGAAGCATAGAGATGGCGATGAAGCATTCAATTCTAATTAATCTTTCAGCAAACAAAGCCTTGCCTTATCCCTCTCTTTCAATTGTCTTACTCATTCCTATATTCAGGTGTTCCAGCTTGCATATGATGGCCTCTACTGGGGAGTATCAGTAAATAGAACTTTTTCTTCCTGGTGGAATAGCCTTTTATTGTTATAACACTTATAAAATTAAGTGTAAAAGTATACACATTCTCCTTATAATGAATTCAAGTGTGGTCTAAGAAGATGCAGGAACAATGACACCCTTCTGGACATTTCTTTACGTGGGCACACCATTCACCCTGCACAGTGGGTGAGTGAGCAAAGGTCATGTGTCCACAGGTAACAAAACAGTGAACATTTCAACAACTCACCCTCGAATTCACCACTTCCAGTGAGACGTTCTGAGGTGGGGCACTTGGCACTGAAAGGAACAAAACAAGGTGAGATGGTTACTGCCAGCGTCAGGAAAGAGAAGCTTTATCACTCAGAAGGGGGTCTTTTCCACAGTTCATCCTGACAGGCAGAGCTAGGTTGATCCAGGTGGCACTTTCAAATTTTCCTGGAGAGATTTAAAAAACAACAACACACCTGCATTTGCTTATTTCTACTCACTTGGTGGGCCAGTTATCCATCTAGGGAGCCCCAAACACTATTAGGCAAGAGAGCACCTGCCGTGATACCAAACACTGACATTTAATTACAGCTTTCTGGCAATAACCTTCCCAGGAAACCAATAAAAACACATAGGAGGTTTCCTGGAGTGGTTTTAAAGGCTTAAGATACTGTGCATTTCAGCATCTGCATGGTTTTAGGATGAAATGTGTCATTCTAATGACCACTTGTGTTGCTCAATCCCTTTAATGCAACCTTTATTATCTCTTAAAAGGTGAAAAGAAGAAATACACCCCCCCCCCCCCCCCCCCGTTTTTTTCAGCTGAATGTGATTAAACCCCTCTGTCACAGAGGCAGGTTACCAAATGGCATCTGGTGAGTCGATTCTATTAACAAAGGAGCTGTTATTTTTCTTTGTGGATCTTCTAGGAATTTTGTTTCTCTTGCCGGCACTTTGATTGCCCCATTCATGAAATAAGGAAGAATATATACAGTTTCCTCCACAACACTTATCATGAATATTTACTATATCAAAAAAGCAAACATTCTAGCATGTGAGGAATTCAAAGACAAACATTCCCTGAACGGCTGTTCTGTGTCAGCCACTATTCTATATATCTTAGGTGAATCATAAAAAAATTAAAGCTCTCTGCCCCACAATAGAAGTAGCAGTCAATAAATGTTTAATATAGATTGATCTGTAAAATGAGGAGTACCTCTCCTTCTTCAGGATGAATAGGTGAATTTCATGGGGAAGAAATGCTCTTAGTATTTTCAATAATTTTTTGTCATGCTCCCTCTTACTTAAACATGAACGATATCTATGTTTTACTAGGTTACTTATGTTCTACCCAAAATTTAATTATGCTATACTCTGAATTTAGCTTCTGAAATATAATCAGCATAATGGTATGATATATGTATTATTATTATATCCTCTAATCTGACATCTAATAAATAACTCAATGATTAAATAAACAAATGAGTACTTACTTAAATCTTAGCTCCTGGCCTTTCTGGACAGGAAGAGAATTGTAACCACTTATTTTGTTTTAATTTTGAACTTGTGTTAGTGTTTGATAAAAGCTATAGCTAATGTAGCTTGTGATAAATTGTTCAGTGGAAACTTGTTTTTCATGAATTACACCAACAAGTATTTTTAAAATATATTTCATAATTAAAAATAGATGTTATTATTTAATTTATTTCCGTTCATATTATAGTTTTCTTATCAAATACAGAATATAAACCCCACAGGGACCAGAATTTTTGTCCCTTTTGCTACTACATCCCCAGTATCAACAGGAGCCCAGCACATCAGGCACACTCAGCCAATAGGTGTTGGAGAAAAGTTGTAAGGTATTTAAAAATCTTTTTCATATTCAGGGTTTCACAACCAGCTTTTGTCTTGCAATTATTTGATGAAGTTATAGCATATGTCTAGTAGAATGCACAAGTGTTGACTGTATGACTTGCTAAGGTTGTCTGTGTGTTTCCATTTAAACACCACTGAGATCAAGAAACAGAGCGCTTATAGTCCCTTGGAAAGCTCCCTGGCACCTCTTCCCAGTCATGCCGCTGTTCTGAGTTCTAACTCCATCATTAGTTTAGCTCGCTGGTGAGCTCACTAACAATGAAATCAGAGTTGTTATGTATCCAGGCGGCATCTTTTGCTCATTATCAGTTTCTTTCACGTTGCTGCATGGAGCAATAGTTTTTGTTTCTGTTGTTTGTTGTTATTTATTTTTTATTTTTAATCCTCATCCGAGGATATTTTTCCATTGATTTTTAGAGAGAGTGGGAGAGAGAGGGAGAAACAGAGAGAAATATCGATGTGAGAGAACTGCATCCATTGGCTACGTCCTGCAGGAGCCCTGACCAGGGCCCGGGCAGGGAAGGAGCCTGCAACCAAGGTACATACCCTTGACTGGAATGAAACCCAGGACCCTTTGATCCACAGGCCGTTGCTCTATCCACTGAGCCAACTGGCTAGGGCTGTTGTTATTTTTATTACTCCACAGTATTACAATATAGTATATGACCATTCTGTTTTACATTTTTCCACTCTACTGACAAGTAATAGTTGGACCATGTCCAGTTTGAGGCTATAAGACTAAATCTGCTTGATATTCTTGCACATGTCTTTAGATGGACAATTGCACTCATTTCCTTCATTATATACCAAAGAGTAGAAATACTGGCAAAAGTGCAAACCCCAATGGGGGGTGAAACATATGCTAAGCTTCGATAGATATAAACTTTACCAAAGTGGTTGTACTAATTTACACTCCTACTAAGAATGTAGCAAAGTTCCAGGTGCTTCATATCTTTACCAACATTGGGTATTTTCAATTTTTAAAATTTTAGCCATTTGGTAGGTTTATTGTGTTTTTATTTTTATTTCATTAAATATATTGGGGTGACATTGGTTAATATTACATTCCACATGATATGGTAATATTTACATGTCATATACTAATCATGTTACACCCACTTTTTCACAATTAGTTTCAAAATATAATTTCAGTAAAACTAGATGGATTTATGATAGATGAATGGATTTTGGAGTAAGGAGAAATTTACTTAAAATTACCACACATTTTGTTCTAGGTACTGATTAGTTGATATGTAACCTTCAACTGTCATTTTAATGTAAGTTTCAAAATAGTAATTCCAGAAAGCCAAAAATTAATAAGAGAAAGGATACCTATTTGCACTTCTTTTTTAATACCACAACTTGATAAATATCAATATTATTTTCTGTACTGGGAATTGAAAGCCACAAAGTCCTAAAAGTGGGTTATAACTTGGTATTGATGTATTTTTTCTATTTTTTGGTGATATAAATATCTCTTACTGTTCATTGATAGCACACTGGCTATTTATGCCTTAGTCAGGAAAGAACGTAGAGGATTTGTTCTATAGTAATTTTTGTTATTAATTGAGAAAGGGACACACACATTGGCATAGATTACATTTAGCAAATACTTAGATGTATGTCATGCTCATCTTTTTAGGTGTTTACATGGATTAGCCCATTTAATTTTCACATCTCCCTTTTAGCCAAGGAGAAATGAGCTTGCCTGGTGCTGGGAAGCAGGTGACTATTAAATGTGATTAAGTACATATCTATACGGTGCATGACCTCACCATGCCCAGCTTCAGTAGAGGAGAAGACGTCATGCTGAAGTGGAGAGAAGGGGACTGGGTGGGAGGGAATGGAAGCCAAGAGTGCAGGGTTTTTTGTTGGAAACATGACTTGACTGTATAGATGAACGCAGACATGTTCAGGGAGTCCACGTCAAGAGGGTCATGAAGTTCCCGTTTTCTCCTATCAAATGTATCTGATAGAGAAAAATTGGGGTCCCTTGTATAGTGATGCTTGTTGGGTAAGGATCATGAAATCCTTTGATATAGTGACAGGCATTTTCTAACTCCTAAATTTCTACATTTCCATTATCATTAACATTTCTAAGTGATAATTCTTGGACTAATGAGTAATAATCTATCTTTCTCACTATGACATTTAAAACCTAAGTGGAAAATAAGGCCACAGTCTTACAGTTCAGAGTGTGAATGAAATCTACATAAATTATGCAAAATATTCATTTTCATTTGTTTTTCTTTTATTTTTATAATTATAAGTTGTGAAGTAATTTATTCTGCCAACAAATATTCTGTCCTGTCTTCAATAACAGAATCAGTTGGATGGGCATAAGAATTACATTAAAAATGAAGAGGTGTCACACATAGAACAATTTTTAAAATTGAAATTGCAAATGAGATTTACTCACGTGTCATTGTTGCACTACCCTTAATAGCATGGATGCCCTTCCTCATCCCTCTGATATTGTGTGAAATATAGGCCCAGATACTTTCCCAGATTGAAGAATGGTGGATTGGTCAAGGAATCATAAGCTAAAGTCATTTTTTCTGATATTCAAAGATTAATAATTTATAGAATTACACACACCAACATGGAAACCAGTGCTGAAAAGAAATAGCTTGTTGCCTTTTTAATATTCATGGAGGTCACATCTTTGCATTTCTACACCTGCCCGAATTTTCACTGGTCCCACATCCTATCCTCCGCTGTACTTTATTTTGACTTTTTATTAAATTTCCCATTTCATTTTTATCCATTTCTTTTTTAAATATATTTTATTGATTTTTTACAGAGAGGAATAGACAGTCAGAAACATCGATGAGAGAGAAACATCGATCAGCTGCCTCCTGCACACTCCCCACTGGGTATGTGCCTGCAACCAAGGCACACGCCCTTGATCGGAATCGAACCTGGGACCCTTGAGTCCACAGGCTAATGCTCTATCCACTGAGCCAAACCAGTCAGGGCTTTATCCATTTCTTATACTTATATTCTCCTCTGCTACTGTTTTGTCTAGTCTATCCTCTTTATGAAGTCTTCTTCCTCTCTTTTATGACATTTAAAAAGGTACGTGTAATCTTTCATCTGTTAGCACGGGACAATTAAATGTGTATGTTTTATATTCAGCTGTAATACTTTCAATGTTGGATTATTTGGCCTAAATCCTTATGCTATACTTTCAAATGAAGGTGAATATGTAGAATTGTCCATCATTTAAATTTTTAATCATCTACCTTTTTTTAAGAATGAGAAATAAAAGCAACATGCCAATGTATATAGTCCAAATACATGTACAAATGTGTTTGTGGTAAAAGAAATAAAGAAAAATGCAAAAAATCATTTTGAGCCCCTAGGCCAGCCGTGGGCAAACTACGGCCCGCGGGCCAGATCTGGCCCGTTTGAAATGTAAAAAAGAAAAATGCAAAAAATCATTTTGAGCCCCTAGGCCGTAGTCATACTTGAAGATCACCTATGAGGACATCCTGACTTATGAAAGTTTAAATTTGACTGTAAAAGTTTGAGTGAAGTAGCTAAAATTCTAATGTATGCTAACATATCCCATCAAGTTTTATTTGGGAAACCTTGAAAATGAAATCTCTGACATAGACACCATATTATTTGATTATAGTGTGAAAGTGACATAAAATATGTGTAAATATGACATAAAATAGTGACATAAAAAAGTGACATGACAAATATGTGAGTCAAGTGTTACTGGCTGTAACTTACCATCAGATAGCGTAACCACCGTTACGTCGTCAGTAGAGACTCCGGGCCCATAGCGATTATAAGCTAGGAATCGAAGACTGTATTCCGTGAATTTTTTCAGGCCTTCCAGCTTATAAGACAGTCCATCAACCTCTATATTCTGGAGACATAAAACAACTGTTATTCAGGAGGCACATGGAAGCCGAAATGGCAGCCATTCTGTTTAATCAGTAAATTGGATATTAGACTCCTACTCGCAAAACTACACTCCGGCCTTAGAATGAACTGTTGGAAAATCTGCTTGTGACAGTCACTCTCCCACTGAAGCCCAGGCCTCTATGCAGACTCCTGGTTAAAACAGCTCCGTGCTGTTTCTACAGTCATTACGTTCTGATCTGTTTAACACCACCTAACGTACTGAATAGAGAGGCCACACTGGGACCCTGACAGGCAGGAGGCAGTTATTAAATTCAGGGGAACAGAGCGCTGCTCCTGCACCCTAAGTGGATAGCTCCCCAGGAAACAGCAGACTTCCTTCTTCCCTAGCGGAAACAGACTCATGTCTCTTGAAACTGACAGAGTTTGCCACCGTTTGTATCTGCCTGAATGCTGCGAGGTAGGCTGGGTGCTGCTGTCAGCCCTTCATAGCTGCAGAAATGAGGTGCTGAAGGTCAAGGTCACTGAGCAATCAGAGCCAGTTTGCTCCAGAAGACCCATTATTTAGCTCTCCACTAGGATCCTCTCACTCACATCTATCTTGGGTAACATCATTTTGGGATTTATTTAAATGCATTGGTGATATGCATTATTGAAGAGCTAAAATATGTAGAAAAGTGGATAGAATAGGAAGATGAAACTTAAGAGCTAAAGGGCAAGCACAAAAAGTGGAATGAATGATTACATAGGAGGAACTCTTAGTGATTCTTATTTTACAACATGACTTGGGAATTAGAACTATTTCTGAATAAAACTGCTGCAAAACAGGTTTTTAAATGAAAAAAACCTTTATCACACAGTTTATAGGGAAGCACGAAGACCACAGTAGGCTTTGGAAACGTCACAACGACCTCAGAACTAGGCTGTCCCAAGGTCACCTCTCTGTCTTTCCCATTTAACTACATACTTGCCTATACAACTTCTCCCACATGAAGCTGAGAATCTGGAAGTAAACATCTCAATAGTCATGAGCCTTAGCCAGTTCAGCTCAGTGGATAGAGCATTGGCCTGCGGACTGAAGGGTCCTAGGTTTGATTCTGGTCAAGGGCACGTACCTCGGTTGCAGGTTCCCCAGCCCTGGTTGGGGTGTGTGCAGGAGGCAACCAATCAATGTGTCTCTCTCACATCAATGTTTCTCTGTCTCTCTCTCTCTCTCTCTCTCTCTCTCTCCCTTCCAGTCTCTCTAAAAATCAATGGAAAAATATTCTTGGGTGAGGATTTACAACAACATATACAGTCACAAAGGAGAACTGCTGAGTCTCCCTAAGACTCAGCCACTCTTACTTTATGAAATCCAATTGGCTTATTTTCAGGTGTCTGTACTAACCACAGATTGGGGGGAAACGTAAGAAGGAGGCAGGTAGCCTTCTGAGTAAGGTAGACTGAAAAAACAAGTGACAGGTGACAGTCTGATATGGGGAGAAGACAGACATACCATCAAATAGATAAGAATGAAGACAGCAACTTGGGTGATATCATTGACAGTAAGATAAATCCTCTCTTAGGTTAAGGACTGAAAATACAAATGCTTCCTGGAACCAGACTGGTTAATACAAATGTGGTTACACTGGCCTGGGCACCTACCTACTCACACAAAACATAGGTATCCTTTCTGATTCATCTCATTACCCATTGGCCTCTCTTAGCACCAGAATTCAATTAAATTGCATAACATTTCAAATAACAGGTACTTTAAAACTGATCAGCCATCCAATTAATATGCCGGACACTGGACTAGACATTGGGAGCTTACAAGCGCCTATTTCTCGAGCCCTAGAGCCAAACCAACAGGTGGCAGCAGTGGGACCCATTCCCTCGCCTACCTGTTCCTTCCCCGTGGACACCTCAGTGCAGAACAATCTGTAACCTTGAACTGGGCCATTTGCATAGGCAGGGGGTTCCCAGGTAATGAGAATTGAGGTAGGTGAGGTAGATACAGCTTGCAGGTTTTCTACTGGCCCTGGAACTTGCACTGTGTACAAGAGAAATGGATTAGTACAAGAGGGTTCTCTTTCTCCAAACAATCGGAATGACATCTTTTACAGTTTGAGGAAACTATAGCAGCATGTAGTACCTTTAAAACCATACGTAATACGGATATAAAACCATAAAATACACAGTAGTAACATTTTGGAGTTATTTCTCATTTTCATATCCAGAAGAGGACTTATATACATCTACATTTCTTATTTCATTTTACAGTTGAAGAAACTGGTCAAGGAGTATAAGTGACTAGGATAATAGGAGGGAAAGGAGGGATTCTTAATCAAAATTCTTAGTGTGGAGAAAGTTCCACTGTGTCAGCGTGGCTTTGCCTGTGTCTTGCTAATAACTGCGGAGGGAAAAGAGAAACTACCATGAGAATATTTGGACATCTTGCCTCACTCCAGTAGGCAGCACGGCTATGGATAATTGACCACACTCACTGTCTTTAGTCAGCTTTTTAAGGTCTTGCCCAATTCTGGCTCCTTTATATTAATTGCCCGATTTAATTTTCCATTTTACTTTCTAGTATTCAATTTTCTCTCATAACTATTAACTCAATCAAGGATAAGTAACTTCCGCATTAGAGTAGCTAGACAGCACAGGTCTACATTTACTTAAGCAAACACTGTGTCCGGATGTATTTTCAGATCCAGAAATTTTTAAATGTTAGAAAGCTAACATGGTGGGTATGCAGAGCTTTATAGAACTTGCACTGTTATCAAATCATGTATTTTCAGCAAATATATTATATTCACACCAACTAGGATTATTAAAGACTATCCATAGTCTAACATAAGATCAGGTCTGGGTACAAAATGAGTTAAGAAAATCCTTCAGATTCCAGCTTTGCAAATTTTGAATTGTGCCTAATTTTTTTACTTGTGCAAATATACCTAAATATGTATGGTTTGTGAATGGTAAATGGAAAATAGCCATGCTATTACAATGTAAAATAAATAAAGTCTTGGCACTGCCAGTGTAACTATGTTAACTTAACATGCCGTGTATGTTCTTGGGTACCACCTAGCTTTGGACAGCTATACATTAAAGGCCCATATTACGGTTCTGCGAGTTTGAACTTCCATAGCAAATTATCATACGAAAACGTGGCTGACATATCTAATGATACCTTTTTAGATCTGCCAGGCACCTGTGTCTCGGGATCATTTTTCAGAATTTGTTCCATGAAACCCAGCCGCCTTAAGGTATTACTGCTCACACATTCATGTGGGGGGAATAAATATATTCATGTCAGAAACACATATTTTATGTCACTTTCACATATTTTCCCACCAGTTGCCGAATCTTGAGAACCATTATTACTGACAATTGCATTCTTTTCGCCTTTACAAATGACTGTTAAGAACTTCTTAAAAACTTATTTAGAAATTATTGTAAACCTACAGACAATTTTAACAATGAGAATAATACAAAGAACACCCACATTCCCTTTATCCAGATATACCCATTGTTAACACTTTGCTCTATATATTTTATCATAATCTATCTCACTAGACATATGTAGTCTTCCTTTCTATATATATCTATAGATTGCATTATCACCTATTACATATAGATTTTATGTGTAGTGATAAATGCTACCTATAATCTATATAAATACATATTGAGACTATTTATTATCTCTTGATAGATAGAAAGAATATATATCCATATCTATTCAGATTAAGCTGTACACAGCTCTTTACCCCTATAAATTTTAGTACATATTTCCTAAGAGCTAATGTGTACATGAATACTATAGTTATTAACTTCAGTGCATTTCACATTCATTCAATATTTTTATCTAATCTTCATCTGTATTGCAATTGTGCCAACTGACCCAATGTTGTCATTGATGTAGCATTTCTCTACCTTTCCTCAGCCAGTCTCTTTAGTCTGTTTTAAGCTGAAACAGTTCCAGAGCCTTTCTTTATCTTTAAGCCATTCATATGTTTGAAGACTATAGTCTTTTTTTGATTAATAGAATGTTTCTCATTTTGGGTTTGTCTTTGTTTCTTCATGTTGAATTTAGGTTACACATTCCAGTCAGAAATGAAACATGAAGAGATGTCTGTCCTTCTCAGGGCATCACCTCCAGAGGCACAAGACCTCTCTCAGTCACTCGGATGTGAATGTTGGGTAGCTGGTCAAGGTGCTGTCAGGTTTCTCCAGGTGGAATTTACTGCCCACCCTGCACTCCCACCCAACTCTGACCCCTGCTCCATCACTTCCAGCTAATAAGCAATCTGTGGGCAGATGACTATACCAGCATCAGGACCAGGTAAATATCATGCTCTATATTAGCTCCCCTTAGAGTCAGCATCTACTCATGGTTCTTGATGGAATCAACCTTTACCAGGGTGATTACAAAGGTGGTTATTTTGCTATTCAAGCACTTCTTCTGAATTAGCAACTTGGCACTCAGCATTCGATTATAAGCAAGAGCCCTTATTTTTCTCTATTTATGTATCTATTATTGTTATGGGGACATGGGTTCCTTCTTTATCATAGTCTATCATTATTGTTCTTAATTGTGGGAAAGCACAGGACTTGGTTGGAAAGTCTGTAAGGAGGATTCTGCAAAAGGTCAGGGACCTTGCTGAAGGTGGCAGCCCCTACCTTGACTTGTCCAAACAAGTCTGATCCCCCAGGTGTTTTGCTGGAATCTCTATGTTTAGTCTTTAAGACCCGACCTTGCAGAAGCATGAGCTTTCTCAAGGATACTTACCCGGCTGATTGTATCTAGAGGTTAATTTCAGTTCAAGCTGTTGTTACAATAAAAGGCTAATGCAGCAGGTAACAGGGGCTCTTTTGGTTCCTAAAGCCAAACAAGCCCCTTAGCCTTCTCTTTCATAGAAACATGTGTCAGAGTAATCTACTCATCTGCTGCTCAGAGTCTGCTGGTCAACCCTGGAACTTAATTATTTGGGTGTTTGAATTGTGCCAGATTTGGCCAGTGGGGCCCCCTTTAATCTTCTGTCCTTATGACATGCCCCATCCTTCACAGGAGCACTTCCTTTCTTCCTGGAATAATATATTACAGGTTCATCTTGATCCTGCCCCAGCTCTGGAATCACATTTCTCCAAAGATTTCTGGTTCTTTTCTCAGGGAATGGTATCTGAGACAAAGGTCAGGGTATTAGACTGATCATTGCTGTTTGGCTGTCCTTGCTTCTGGATCCTATCAGCAATCAGAAAACATATGACTGTGTATAAATGTATATACAGAAATGCATATGTGCATATGTATACTCAAATATACAGATACATATGTATATCTCTCATGACTCTACAGAGACACCTCCTATTCCAAGCCATCTCTACATGGTTCATTATTGCGTTCCCTGTTCTTTTATGCGTCCTTTCTTCCACAAGTAGACCTCTAGATCCCAAACAGTTGCACTTTGAAAGACATTGTATGAGAGCACCCCATGCTGCTATTCTTCCAGGAAGGGATCATTTGTCTGTAGAAAACCCCCTCTTCCACAAAGGGGCCTTCAGTAGACAATACTGAACAACAGGGAGTCTTCCCTGTGTCAAAGCTTATAGTGATACAATTAGACTTAGATTATAATGGAGGCATTTTGCTTCATGGGGAAAAACAAACCGAAGCAAATTAAAAACTTGCCCACTGACATTTTCAACTGGATTTTCAAAGTACAATATTTGAAATAACAACATGAAAATTAAACAATTTGGATGCTTCTATAATTTCACAAAGACAAAGAAAACAGCTCATGAGGGAACATTTCTGACTTGGAGTCCACTATTCTTCTAAGGAAGGTAGATGACAAAGAAAGGAGAACTGAGGCTGAGCGACCTGCTCTGGCACATGTGAATGTGAGGATTCTGGAAGCTCACAGAGCATATCTGCGCAGCCCAGTGACGTGGAAAGTATTAACTGAATGAGTTCCTTCTCACTGCCCTGTGGCTAAAATGAAAGCACACTGCTTACTACTAACATGGCTCATTCTAAGGTTTAAAAATGGCCAAACGCCAAGGCCATCATTCCTTCTGTGTGACGTAACACATTCAAGGGAGGTTTTCCAGAGTAGAAGCTTTTCCAGGAGGAATAGGAGAGAAGTGAGTGTATGGAAGGGGGGGAGGGATATTTGAGGATATTCTGCTCATTTGCTTCACTGGAGCACAAGAGGATAATGGAAAATAATTCAAATTGATTTGAGTTTTTGAAGAACAAGACATCTGAGAATCTGGAAGAACGAGCTGAGAGGGTTGCCTGGCAGGGTAGGAGCCGCGGATGCACAGCCTGCTAAACTAGGACTTGTTGGGGGCATGGGGGTCAGACAGGCCAACCTCACAACCACTTCCATCAAGCCTTGTGGGAAGAAGAGACCACAGGGACATCGACAGCTCAAGGAGCAACCCCACAAGAACAAACATGAGGCCAAATTCCTCCCTGCTGAGCCCAGCCATGGCTGCTAGGGTCTTGGCTCTTGGTCCAGAGAATGGTCAAAAACCTCCACTTAGTTTCCCAAATAATAAAATAAATTCTCTTCTCCACAGGAATAGGCACAATGCTAGGTATACAGACAGTATTTAATAGATGTGTGTCAAATGAACGACTTTACATATAATTACCAAAGGTTACCGTAAATCACAAGCCTAAAATAAACTATGTAGTCTAACTCATTTGATGTGGTTTATTCAGCATTGTCACTGCAAGTGATCAGAAAATAGTGTTTCCTCAACACACCTGGTGAGAACTGAAGTTGGTATGTACTTCCATGTTTGTCATGTGCATGGAGCCTGTGTGTGCTCTGCACAAGGTGTAATTTCTTTATGTGCACATGTAGCTTAGTCACTGATGGGAAAACACCAGGCAGTAAGTACTATAATTTGGATCCAGTTCACGCTGGTAGTGCCTACTCTGATCACTTCTTAATCCACTGACATATTCTTTCTCTGGTCATTAGATACTATCAGGAAAAAAGTGTGCCTAGGTTTCTAGAATTTCAAGCAGAAAAT